GTGTATATGTATATATATATATATATGTTTTTATGTATATATGTGTAAATGTATATATGTGTTTATGTATATATGTGTATATGTATATATATATATATATATGTTTTTATGTATATATGTGTATATGTATATATGTGTTTATGTATATATGTGTATATGTATATATATATATATATATGTTTTTATGTATATATGTGTATATGTATATATATATATATATATATGTTTTTATGTATATATGTGTATATGTATATATGTGTATATGTGTATATGTATATATGTGTATATGTATATATGTATATATGTGTATATGTATATGTATATATTTATATATGTGTATATGTATATATGTGTATATATATGTATATATGTGTATATGTATATATGTATATATGTGCATATGTATATGTATGTATATGTATGTATGTATATGTGTATATGTATGTATGTATATATGTGTATATATATATATATATATATGTGTGTATATATATATATGTATATATGTGTATATACGTATATATGTGTATATATATATATGTATATATGTATATATGTTTATATACGTATATATGTGTATATATATATGTATATATATATATATGTTTATATGTATATATATATATATATATATATATATATATATATGTCTATATATATACAGGTCCTTCTCAAAAATTTAGCATATTGTGATAAATGTTATTATTTTCCATAATGTAATGATAAAAATGAAACTTTCATATATTTCAGATTCATTGCACACCAACTGAAATATTTCAGGTCTTTAATTGTTTTAATACTGATTATGGCATACAGCTCATGAAAACCCAAAATGCCTGTCCCAAAAAATTAGCATATCATGAAAAGTTTCTCTAAACAAGCTATTAACCTTACCATCTGAATCAACGATGTAACTCTAAACACCTGTAAAAGATTCCTGAGTCTTTTAAAAACTCCCAGCCTTGTTCATTACTCAAACTGCAGTCATGGGTAAGACTGCCGACCTGCCTGCTGTCCAGAAGGCCATCACTGACACTCTCAAGCAAAAGGGTAAGACACAGAAAGAAATTTCTGAACAAATAGGCTGTTCCCAGAGTGCTGTATCAAAGCACCTCAGTGGGAAGTCTGTGGGAAGGGAAAAGTGTGGCAGAAAACGCTGCACAACGAGAAGAGGTGACCGGACACTGAGGAGGATTGTGGAGAAGGGCCAATTCCAGACCTTGGGGGAGTTGCGGAAGCAGTGTACTGAGTCTGGAGTAGAAACATCCAGAGCCACCGTGCACAGGCGTGTGCAGGAAATGGGCTACAGGTGCCGCATTCCCCAGGTCAAGCCACCCTTGAACAAGAGACTGCGTCAGAAGTATCTCGCCTGGGACTGCTGCTGAGTGGTCCAAAGTTATGTTCTCTGATTACAGTAAATTTTGCATTTCCTTTGGAAATCAAGGTCCCACAGTCTGGAGGAAGAGAGGAGACACAGAATTCACATTGCTTGAGGTCCAGTGTCAAGTTTCCACAGTCACTGGGGTGTCATGTCATCTGCTGGTGTTGGTCCACTGTGTTTTATCAAGCGCAGGGTCAATGCAGCTAGCTATCAGATTTTGGAGCACTTCATGCTTCCATCTGCTGAAAAGCTTTATGGAGATGAAGATTTCATTTTTCAGCATGACCTGGCACCTGCTCACAGTGCCAAAACCACTGGTAAATGATTTACTGACCATGGTATTACTGTGCTCAATTGGCCTGCTAACTCTCCTGACCTGAACCCCATAGAAAACCTGTGGGATACTGTGAAGAGAAAGTTGAAAGACACAAGACCCAACACTCTGGATGAGCTTAAGGCTGTTATCGAAGCATCCTGGGCCTCCATAACACCTCAGCAGTGCCACAGGCTGATTGCCTCCATGTCACGCCGCATTGAAGCAGTCATTCATGCAAAAGGATTCCCGACAAAGTATTGAGTGCTTAACTGAACATGATTAGCATTAGCTTACGGTCACACTTTGTATAACTTGCATATTTATGTTTTACCACACTCTCCTGCACTTCTCCAGAGCCTTTTGCCTCACTGCCCGCAGACTTTTCTGGGTCTCTTCTTTTTGACGTTTGACAAAAATCCACAGACTGAGCATAATGTTCAATAAAGCTACGAGATCCTCCATTTTGGTTGTGTATCTTTTCAGGGTCTTCTTCTTCTAATTTGTTTAGTGGTGGCTAGTAAATAGCTTAAGGGAGCACTACCGCCTCCAGCTGGTAAGGCAAGTTGGATTCTGGACCCGGCCTACAGAACTGGTACTGAATGTGCATATGGAAAAGTAACATGGACCGAGCAGAGCCGAACTGAACTGAGTCGAACTGGGCTGAAGATGGGCTATGGAAAAGGGCCGTTAGAGCCTGCAGAACATTAAAAACTCCTCTATCTCCTCTGACACCATTGTTTTCCTTTTTATGTTTTTTTGTACACTTTAAAGAATCCACTTCAGAATAATTTATGCTATTTTAACCATTCATAGATCAAAAGTCCCACTTCCTTTATGAATATTTTTCTATGTCTATTTGATAACTTTATCTTATATATATATATATATATATATATATATTAAATATCTAAATATATTTACAAAATAATTCATAATCAAAATATGTTCAGATCTCTTCTTAAAAAACTTTGTTCCCTGAAAAATAATTTAGCTTTTTGTTCTTTTAATTATTGTCTTGCTAATTTTAGCTATTGCCTTTCTCATTTTAGCTTTAGCTACAGTTTTGCTAAATTTAACATTTAACTGCTTATTTTTCTAACTTTAGCCTTCAGTTATAATGTTAAATCTAGCTTTTAGCTATGAGTTTGCTAATGTAAGTTTTTAACTATGGTTTATTTCATATAAGCTTTTTGGTATGGTTTTGTGATTTTAGCATTAAGCTACTGTTTGACTGATTTTAGTTTTTATTCTGCTTGTTTAAAATAACAATCCTGTTTCAGCTTCTTCATCTAACCTTAGTCAGTCAGTTAACCTTATGATGACTTTCTGTTTTTCATTAAAATGTAGTCACATCAGATTCTGCTAAATGACACACACACAAATGCACACAGTCACACCTACGTTTTTGTACCATTTTAAACATGCAGAATGAGTCTAATAGTACAAAATGCATATGAATCTGTACTGTATGCACAAAACAAAGTAAAATATAAATGTAGAAATGTTCGTGAGAGGTAATTGTTGTTAAATTCAGATTAAATAAAACTGATTAACATCATACAGACTGGCTGCCTCGGCTGACCTGTCTCCCTCTCTCCACTGCAGAAGCTTCCTATTGGCTGGGCAAATGCTGACAGCACTGGTGTTCCTCTGTATTGGTGGGGGCTCACTCTATAAAAGCTCTGGATCTGCAGCATCACTGTACTGGTGCAGTGCAAAAAACCGCATGCTCATCCTCACCGATGGTGTGCAGAACAAGGGGGACATAAAAAAATCTTCTGAAACTGAATCATACATCTTTTCCTAAACCAGCAAGAAAAAATCATCATGAGCTACAAATCCTTCTCCTATCAATGCCCTTGGGACAAAGGCTCACGAAGCAAATCCCTCACATCCTCCTCTTCTCTTTGGGCTCCTCCATCTGGGAAAAGGATCCTGAAGATGGCCTCCTCCTCCTCCTCTTTTCCTGATAGCTCACAGAGGACGAACCTAACTCAAGTCAGCTCCATCAACATGGAGCTACTGGAGGTGCGATCCCATGAGAGGGAGCAGCTTGTGAACCTGAACGACCGCTTTGCCACCTACATCGAGAAAGTGAGGCGCCTGGAGCTGCAAAATCTGGCTTTGCTGGCTGAGCTGGATGCACTGAAGAGGCTGCAAAATGACTCATCCCACCTGCAAGCACTCTACGAGGGGGAGGCTCGGAGCCTAAGGGCCATGATTGATGCAGAGAACAGTGAGAAGATGCAGATGGAAGCAGAGGAGGACTACCTGCAAGATGCGTACGTGCAGATGAAGGAGCGCTATGAGGAGGAGGCAAGGCGGCGTGTGGATGCTGAGGAGGCCCTGCAGAGAGCCAGAGAGGAGGCAGGACGGGCTGCTGTCTACAGCTGTGATGCAGAGGCCACCATGGTCTCCCTATGCGATGAAATGATGTTCCTTAAGAAGGTCTTTGCAGAGGAGCAAGCTGAGCTTCACAGCCAGCTCCAGGTGGCCAACATCAGTGTGGATGTGGAGCTGAGCAAGCCCGACCTCTCCGCTTCCTTACGAGACATCCGGGCGCAGTACGAGCAGCTGGCCAACAAGAACATGCAGGCTGCAGAGGACTGGTACAGGAGCAAGTTTGCGGGCATGGCACAGATAGCCAGCAAGAACAATGAGGCCGTGCACGCCATCCGGGAGGAGACCATGGAATACCGGAGACTGCTCCAGGCACGCTCCTCAGAGATTGAGGCTCTCCGAAATGTCATCAACTCTCTGAACAAACAACTAGAGGATCTGGAAGACACACAGCATAAAGAGGTGGAAAAATACCAGGTGAATGTGGAAAATGTGATGAGTTGAACTCTTATTTTCAGGGATTGTGTTTGAATTGTCCCAAAAGCAAATCATGAATACATTACAGGCATAGAATTCTTTGAAGGCTTGACTACTGCCCATTGTTAAAAGCTTAGACCAAAATAATCTCATATAGATATTCTCAGGAGCTTTAGCTGTTTTAGTCAAACCTTGAGAGTATTGTTGCATGCAATCTAATTCAGTGTCACAAGGCGACACACTAAACATATCTACTGTGGCTGACTCATCTACTACCACATCAAATTTTAGTTAAACATCTGTAAAATTGACTGAGTTGTAGCCATTTTTTAGTTTTCATAATCATAAAGTTTTTCTTAGTTATATCTTAGATCTTATTATTGTTTTTCTTGTACATTTTATTGTTGGGGGCAGCACGGTCGCGCAACTCGTAGAGCTGCTGCCTCTCAGCGAGCAGATCCCTGGTTCAAACCCCGGTCCAGGGGCCTTTCTGGGTGGAGTTTGCATGTTCTCTCCGTGCATGCGTGGCTTTTCTCCGGGTACTCCAGTTTCCTCCCACAGACCAAAAACATGCATGTTAGACTGATTGGTAACACTAAATTGTCCCTAGGTGTGAGTGAGAGAGTGAATGGATGTTTGTCTTGTTTGTATCTATGTGTCCCTGTGCTTGACTGGAGACCCATCCAGGGTGTACCCCGCCCCTTGCACAGTGATTGCTGGACATGGGCACCGGCGCCTCCCGTGACCCTAAATGGAAGAAGCAGGTAAAAGATAACGGATGGATGGATTTTATTGTTGGATGTAACTGGGACCCTGCGTACATAATTTAATTTTCACCACATGTGCCACACATGGTGCAAATGACAATAAAGAATCTCTGGATCTCTGAAAGATCCCAGTTACACTAAAAAATATCAAAAATATAAAGTATAAAAAGAAACGTATACAGTAGTCCCTTGTTTATTGGGAAATTTAGGGACACACACACACCCCCGGGTCCCGCGATAAGTGAAAAACCATGAAGTAGGGATAGTAGTACAAGTTAAAGTTCAAGTAAACTTTATTGTCATTACCTTCTCATGTGGTACATGAGATGGAACAAAATTATGTACACAAGTAGTGGTAGTAAGTAGTAGTTTATTTTAGTATTTAATGTTGTAGTAGTTTGTTTTTGTTCAAGTTCAAGTAGGTTTTATTGTGATTCACATTACATGTGGTACATGATGTGGAACTAAACTGTGTACACAGTTCCCAGTTACATCCAACAATAGCAAAACTATAAAGTGTAAAAAATAGTAAATAAGGATCTAAGATATAAACTAAGAAATACGATAAACACTAATAGTGCAAAACAATATGTCGAACAACAGCAGCACAAACAGAAGTCTGTGTGAGTAGATGAGTAAGAATGAAAACAGCAGCATGAAATAAATCATCAGCATGAGGTCAGCAGCATGGATAATCAGTAGCACATATCACCAATCAAAGTGGCATAACAGTGATTTTTTTTTCAGTGATAATCCTGGTTAGAGCAGTCGTCCTTCAATGTGAGAGTTTGGTGTTCACATCCACCAGCAGTCACATGCTGAAGTGTCCCTGGGCAAGACACTGAACCCCTCATTGCCTCTGATGTGTGTCCTATCAGTGTATGAATGTGATCTAAAGCACCGATTAGTCTCATTAGAATGATATGTTCAATTAGCTTTGTAGAGATCTAGTAGAGTGCTGTATGAACGGGTAAATGAGGACACAGATTGTAGTGTAAAGAGCTTTGAGAAATAAGATAGAAAGGCGCTATATACGTACAGTCCATTTACCATTACAGTAAGTGGGGAACCACTAGACTGAGGAACAGCTTATACCCAGAAGCTGTTAGACTCATAAATCCCTAACCACTCAGCCACAGCTGTGCCTGTGTAATGCTCCACAACCTAGTCCCCGGGTGGTCTGTTTAGATCTTCAAAGCAGGCATAGAACCTGGTAAGAGAATCAGGCAGTGATGGGTCACTAGGGCATTGTGCACCCATGCTATTATAGTCTGTGATGCACTTTATGCCCTGCCACATGCTCTGTGGGTCCTGTGAGGAGAAATGTCCCTTGAGCTTCTGTGCATAAGTGGCTTTGGACCTCTTTTTACCAGGAGCCAGCTCTTTTCTTGTCCTCCCCAATTCCTGTGAATTGCCAGGCCTAAAGGCAGTGTCCCTTGCTTTCAGCAGGGTACGGATTCCTGCGTTTGGCCAGGGTTTCTGGTTTTGGTCGCATTTCACAGTCCTGGTGGTGGTGACATCATCAACACACTTGCTGATGTATCTGAGGACAGCAGATGCATATTCCTCCAGATCCAGCTCTCCCTCATTTACAGCAGCCCTCCCTGAAGATCTGCCAGTATGCATATGCAAAATAGTCCTGTAATACAGAGTCACTGTTGTTGACGAACACTGTGACATTTTTCTGTGTTGTTCTGGAATGTCTCAGCAGGGGGAGGTAGACGGGCCAGTAGTGTGGAGATGTGGTCAAAGCAGTCGAGGTGGTGGTGGGTACCGCTTTATAGGCATCTCGTATGTTGGTATAAACATGGTCTAGTGTGTTATTTACCCATGTTGGTATGGTCACATGCTGATAAAATCTTGACAGAGTGTCTTTCAGGTTTACATGATTAAAATCACCAGCCACCACGTTAAAAAGCCCCGGATGTTTGTTTTGTAGCAAGCTGATATTATCATGTAGCTCCTACAGAGCGTCTTTAGCATTAGCATCCGGTGCTATATAGACAACAATGATAAACATCGCCGTAAACTCCCGAGGTAAATAAAGTGGTCAACATTTCACAGTCAAATGTTCTAAAGCCTCAGAGGAGAAACAGTTTATCTGGACATAGTTTGTGGACCAACCTTTAGTGACATAGATGCACAGTCCACCTCACAATGTCTTCCCCGGTAGCTCACTGCAGCGGTCCGCCTGAAAAAAAAAGTCTATCATTCAGCTGGAACACTAAGTCTGGCATGTTGTTATTAAGTCATGTCTCTATAAGATAGAGTACTGCACATTTCCTCATCTCCTCTGAGGCACCAATTCTCGGTTGCAGCAGATCCAGCTCGTTTTCCAAGGCGTGAACATTGTACATGAAGAGAAACAGGATCAGTAGTTTATTAGCATTAGCCTTCAGTCTCACCAACACACCAGCCCAGCTTCCCCTCTTTTTCCACGGGCACAAAGCCTCCTCTTCCCATTAGAGTGCTGCTGCTGCTGATGTCCGTAGAAGCTGCAGTCTGCCGAGCGTAGTTTTCACATTTTTGTCGATAGCTGCTGTATCCAGAGTAAAACCCTCTCTTATGCTCATAAGTTAGGTTTGGCTATAATTCACACACTTAAGGTGAGCAGAGTTGGGCACGGAGCCATTTCCAAAACTAACAATGGCCATCTTAGAATCTGTCCAAACCTCCATTCTTGTGAACAAAAATATTTATTTAAAGTTTTGTCAGGAGGAGAAAGCAGCTGTCACTCTGTAGAACTCGATCACCAATGGAGAATCCAAAGCTGCAACGACGTCAGAGAACGATGCTAGAATGGAGCTCAGGAATGGAGGTTTGGACGGATGGATCATGTGATATGTGACCGAAAGACTGACAAACACTCTCAGAATGTGGAGCTTGGTTCTACGAGCCACGCTCAGAGTCCAGGGTCTGAGTCCATGGTCCAAAATACAGGCATGGGTCCTTCATACAGAGGCAGGAAAGAAAAATTTATTTGAGGGTTTTAGCTGGAATCGGTGGTCTCAAGGCAGAGCAGACATCTTCAGGCATGAGGCATCAGACAAGAGAAGTGCACAAAAATAAAATGGTAAATGGACTGTAGCGCCTTTCTATCTTATTTCAAGATACTCAAAGCGCTTTACACTACAATCTGTGTCCTCATTTACCCATTCATACAGCACTCTACTAGATCTCTACAAAGCTAATTGAACAAATCATTCTAAAGAGACTAATCAGAGTTTTATCACATTCATACACCCATGGGACACACATCAGAGGCAACGAGGAGTTCAGTGTCTTGCCTAGGGACACTTCAACATGTGACTGCTGGTGGATTTGAACCCCCAACTCTCTCATTGGAGGACGACTGCTCTAACCACTCAGCCACAGCTGCCCAAATAAAAATAAATAAATAAAATAAAAGCATAATCACAGGTCCAAAACCATTTTAAATAAATTATTTTAAATGATTTAGCACTTGCTGCAGCAGGTTACGGGCGAACTGTCCATTCGGAGCATCAGGATATTTCCTGGTGGCCTGGCCATTCGCCGAGGAGACTAAAGGCTTGGTTCCAATCATGTTTGATTATTTAAAATAAAGCTGCTCATGCAGCATGGATTGTTTATTTAAACTATTACAGTACAGTATTATAATTGAAATTGTTTATTTACACAGAAGAAGGGAAACTGGGAATGAAGAGCACATTTGTGATTGCAGTGGAAAAGTGGGCGGGGCAGAGAGCTACACGTGGCAGAGAGTGGCAGGTGGCGGAGATCATGACATGCTGCAGGAGGGCGCTTCTCCCTGCACCTGTGGGCTAAACACAGGAGCAGCAGGTGCTATATTATTTAAAATAATTAATTTTAAACAATCCATGCCGCTAGTGCGGATCATCCATCAATCAGCCAATTGTGTCATGTCCAATCTCACTTTGAAAAACTGCGAAAGAGCGAGTCCGCGAAAGTCGAACCGTGAAGTAGCGAGGGACTACTGTATAATGACATAACATACACACTAAGATATACGCTAAATGAATGCCAAATGGTTCGCTAAAAGATCTAAGATATACAATAAACACTGATAATGTAAAACAATACGGCATATCAACAGCAGCCCATTTAGTGATTTATGAGATATTTTGCTAACAGACACATACAGTAGCTACAACCTTTGCCTTTAGCAGTGGGTGATATTATTAATATAGGGCTGGGAATATTCAGTGTGAAACATTCCCACTCCAAATAAAGTAAAAGAAGATCAGATGTCCATTTTCTAGTCCTGGCAGGAAATTAAAACTTCTGCTCTGAAAGTTAAAAAGCTTGTTAAACTAGCAAAAACCAAAAAAAAAAAAAAAAAAGATTTTAAGCTAGAAACAACAATGCAGAAAACTGAAAAAGAGAAGAACTTCTGCAAGTTTTGTTTTAATTGGAATTAAAACCTCAGTAAATACAAGAATCCTTGAAGAACCCGCCCAGAGGACCTGACTCAGATTTATCTACCTGGATTATTGAGCAGCATCAGGACACTCGGTAATTACAGTTTATATATGTGATTCTGCATTTCTAGATGAGGATAAGTGAACTGGAGCAGGACATCACCGAGGCTAAGCAGGAGATGGCTCGGTACCTGAGAGAGTACCAGGACCTGCTTCATGTCAAGATGGCTCTCGACATTGAAATAGCTGCGTACAGGTGAGGAGGCCTTGTTTCACTCATCTGAAACAAAGTTTTCAAAAGTTAATCAGTTATTTATGGGTTTTCACTATTGCTTTCTGCAGGTTTTGAGTAAATCTATTCAGTGGTTGGTAACATATACTATGTTACTGACATGCAGACAGAATTGACTAGTTACTAGTAAAATTTGTAATAAAACTCGTGTGCGATTTGTTAGCACCTTGAATATGGGCTGAGACTCATTCTCAGCTACTAGCACACCAAATATTAGGTCAATATATAAAAAAAACTTAGTTTTGAATTTTTTAAGGTCAGTTGGCTGTGGCAGCCATCTTGAGTCAGGTGACTCCAAAAGTTATCCAAAAATAACCCTGAATGATTAATTTCTGCCAGTTTTATTCAAATTTATCAAGTGGTTCATGAGATATTATAATAACAGACTGACACACAAACATAGATGCTTGCAAAAACATAATCGTCTTTGCCATTTGGTAGTGGATAACAGCAAACATTTTCTTTTTTCCTGCTCTTTTACAGGAAACTCCTGGAGGGAGAGGAAATTAGGTTGACTTACCCGTCCATTCAAGCCCTAACTTAAAAGCCTGATGAAAACCTGAATCTCTCTCTTTTTCTCCTCCTTAACCTACCCTCCATCCTTTCCTTTCCAAAAACATTTATTTATTAAGCCCCCACACACAACCACCAACCCACCCACACACACACACACACACACACACACACACACACACACACACACACACACACACACACACACAGACACACACACACACACACACACACACACACACACACACACACACACACACACACCCACACACACACACACACACACACACACACACACACACACACACACACACACACACACACACACACACACACTAAACAAAAAAACCTAAAACAAAAACTCATCTCTCTCAAGTCGGCTGCGCCCTTGTGCTAATCAAGAGGTCCACAAGAAGTCCCCCTTCTTCTACACACGCTCTCACAACACACCAGGAAACTGCACGCCACCCCTGAGTGGCTGCACTGCTTTAGTTCTGCTGCAGTAGCAGGCTTCATTGTTTTGGGCCGAGCTTCTCTCTGTGACACCAGATAAGGTCCAAGCAGCAGAGTTAGCCACCAGATCCTCTCTTTGCTCAAACATTTGACCAACTGTTTGTAAAAGAGGACAAAAGCATCCGGTTAGCTCTCCATGTTTGGATTTTTTCTGCAACTTTTGTCATTCAGAACTCAACCCAAAGCAGTTGAGCCACATCTCCGCACCCTTAGTTCAGAAGTAGTAGTAATGCTAGAAGATTATTATTATGTGAAAATACAGTGTACTCATTTTCTTTCTATTTAGTCTTCTACTCTTACATTTACATGTGTTAAACTGTTACACAAACAGAGTTGGTTTCATGGGTAATTGATTAGACTTACTTAAAGTCACAAATTTATTTCAACATAAGCTTTCACACATGTAAATGCTGTTGAAGAATAAATACTTAGATGTTATTTTTTGATTTAGGGATATGAAGTGTCTTCAGGCTGTCTGTGTTATTTTGTTCTGTGAGTTTATTCAAAGATAAGGCGTGATGGTGAATTTCAAGCGCAGGAGCTCCTTGTTGTTTGTGTGCTGCCTGTAGATCTAAATTGTGCTTTATGTTCATAAAACTTAACACCAAGTTTCCACCATTATGCTCTATGTAGCTGTAATGGCCAGAAACAAGCTGAATAAACAGATACCTGAC